AATAGGGAAATAGTGAGAGAGAGAAAAGAATAGAAAAGAAAAACTGAGGAGTACAAGGTAGGAGGGAACTGAAAGAACAAAACAGAATATGGTTTGAGAAATACCAGTTAAGGAAAATCAAAATCTCCCAATGCAAGAAACTCCTAGCACTCAGTCTCCACATAATGAGCTCCCTTGTTTTGATTCAGAATGTGCTCAATTTTCCTGGTTTCAGTAGAGAACATACCAGGGCATGACTTTACCCTCTTTTCAGTCTATGATGCTCCAACAGCCATGATGCTTCAACAGCCTACGGTGCTCCAAGAGCCTACATTCTTTTCTGAGCTGTAATTCTAATCATCCAGAACCAACAAGGACCAATTCTATCCTGGTAATAAAGTAGTTTCTCTCTCTATTCATCATTCTCGTCACCCCTGCTTGGGCTAAGGAGACTCACTACTATAAGAAAGCTTTCCCATTGCAAGACAATACAGGGTAGTGAGTGTGTAGCAGAAGTACTAACAACAAGGGATGAGACGCCACTGAAGACTAAGCATTCTGTGGCCGTTACTTTAGATTAAAGTAGTCAACTGTAAACTGTCAGGGGTTAGAGATGTGAACTTATCACCAATGACTCATGCTATAGCTACAAGAGGACTAAAACATATCTTGTCCCTATGTGTGATAAATTTACATAATCTTAAGTCTGAGATTATGGCAAAATGTTTGTCCATTACTTATAATAATGGCCAATATAGCTCACTGAACATAACCAAACAGCAGAGTACTGCTGTAACAAGTAATCCAATTATATAACTAGAAATGCATCAGGGAATCAGTTGCTAATATATATATCATCACTTATCTAATATGTATACTAAAACACATGAAAAAGACCTGTAAAGTACTTGCTCAATATATATGTAAAATTCTAATGAACTTGTTTTTTTCTATTATAATGCATTTAAAAGTTTGAAGCTGATGTCTCTGATTATTTAGGTATTAAGTTTTCCATTGATCACCTTTGCACAATCTGTTTTCAAGAATCATTAATCTAAATGATTTTTCTAGTCCACTATGATATTTCTAACCTAAAAAGCAAGCAAGCCAAGGCCAAGACTCCATTATACTATTGTTGTGATTAACTGCAGATGCCTACTTGGCTCATACAGGCCCAAAACAGAAACATGTAAAAAAAAAAAAATTAGCATGAATACAAAACTAACTCTGTCTATCCTATAGCTTCCTCTACCCATTCATACTCTTGTTACGAGGATCTACAAGCTAAAAGGCAATATTGAAAATAAAATTCTGAAATTAACAGAAAATGACAGTACACATTTCTCAATCTACAACTATGATTATAGAACTAAAAAGTATTAAAAATTATAACAAATATAAATCTTTCTCTCTCATCTCATACACTCACTCACTCACACACAAACAAACAACCACACACACACACACACACACACACACACACACACACACACACACACACACACACACACACACACACACACACACACACATACACTCACTCACTCTCTCTCTCTCTATCTCTCTCTCTCTCATTCACTATATGGTGGGTTGATACATGTGACGAAAAAAGAATGGTATTCTTGTGGAAAGGAAAGACAGAACTTCTCTGCTTCCATCATGGCATCCCAGTGGTCTTGGGACACCAGTTACCTCCAGAATCATTTTAAGCTTTGACTTGTATATGCAGTAGACAGAAGGTGAAATGAACATGTCATCCACAGTAGGGAACAGTTCTATCATGAGCTGAGATCTTAATGTTTGAAGACCCAGGTTCCATCTTCCTGCTAGGGTATCTGGAACAATTGCTTTGACCTGGGAGTTAGGCACTGTTATTTGTGTGGTAACAAGCAACCTTACCCACTTGGCTTACAACATCGTTTAATAATATCATATGCAGATTTTGCCCCCTTAACAAATCAAGGAAAAGCAGACTTCCAACTCCAATGACATGAGCAATCGAACTTCCATTTACTGCATTTATGAGTCTGTGTTTTCAGTAAAGGAGGGAGAGGGAAAGTGTGTGTGTGAATGAGATTGGGAGTGTGAATATTAGAAGGAGAGAGAATCAGGATTAAAAATTATTTTTCATTGTTAAGGTAATCCACTCTGATACAACCATTTGCATTTGGGTCTTAAAAAACTAAACTGGATTACATAAAATTCAAAGTAAATGTTGCTAAAAGCAAAAGTAAAAATAAATCAACAAGCAACTAAACCTCAACCAAGTAAGCAAAGAACAATCCATGCAAACACTTGGAAAAGGGAATCTTATTTTATATATTCTGGATGAAGAATTATGCCAATTATGCCTTCCAAACGAGGGATCACAAATCTGATCAAAAGTTAAGGGGCAAGGCTCACTTCAAAACAGATCATAAAAAAAGAGAGAACAAATAAAAAAAAAAACAAAAGAAGAAATTTAACCACTCCCAGAATATCATATATATATATGTATTTCTTTTATTTTTTATACTGCTTCTAGTTCTTAAGCCCTTCTTCAGTGGCACAAATCAAACATTTCCAGTCCCCAGTGTAAAGCTCAGCATCTGTCAACACAAAGCAGGGTCTTGCCAGGTCCGCATGCCATCACTCTGAGAGGGAGTCTCTCTCCTCAGGTGCTTACCCATGTCTAAGTAAGTTGCTTTGCAACCTTTGGGGATGAACGGATTGGTGGCACCTGTCATGGAAACCTCTGGTCAACCATGCTTGCAATGAATGCCTCTTTGGTGAGAAGGATTACAGTTCTGGCATTATTTTTAGGTACAGGTATGTTCTGGTGATCATGAAAGCTATCAAGACTTAATGATCATTCTTATGCCTTACTTTATAAAGGATAACTATGGAATCAGTAAAAATAATCATATCTGTTATATATTCTACAATGTCAACCCAAAACTTTATGTCTGCAAGTACTGTGAAACAAAAGTAGCTACTCATCTAGGACAAAACTCTTTCATCTTCTCTCTTCTCATAACCTTTGAATAATAACACTATCATTAATAGCAAAGCAGCGTTGACACACCAAAATAAAAAGTTTCAGGTTGACTATTACTCCCTTTCAGATTACCACAAAACAAGAATGGGCTGGAGAACAAAGATTATTTCAAAATCAAGATTGATATCAGAAATATAATCACATGTCTCCTTCTTTTCTCATGAACATATTTAACATGAAAAAATAATAGTGAGTGGACAAAAGTTATCTGAAGTAGAGGAAATAATATAATTTTTGCTATTTATAAACTACAAAGTTCACCCAAAGCATCAATTATGTGATTCTGTATCACATCCCCCCAATCAATCTACTTGTTTACTCATTCATAAATAAGAGAAAAAATTACCTGCTACAACCTTGATAAGCAATAATTCATTCATCCAGTTATCACTTACAAAAGGATTCCTACCTACTACTCAAAAGGACAAATTAAGAACACATGAGTTTTGTGACATTAGATAGTTTCCAGTTTATTCTAGAGATAAATGAACACTAAAAAAGCCCTAACACCATATACAAAAAGTAGGATCTGCTGTAAAAATGTATCTGTACAGTTTTAAAAAAAGTTGCATTAGTTATAAAGCACATGAGGCTTGGGTTTGCATAGAAAAGCATCTCTCTACAAAATGTATTGAATGAATACATGCATGTAGATAGTGTAAATATAGTAGTTAGCTTTAAAGGTTATTTACTGAATTACTGAATCCACACATATATATACACAAATGTTTGTATATATCTGTGTGTGTGTGTGTGTGTGTGTGTGTGTGTGTGTGTGTGTGTGTGTGTGTGTGTGTGTGTGTGTGTGTGTGTGTGTGTGCGAGTGTGTGTGTGTGTATTTTGCATATGTGTGCATGAGTGTTTTTACATGAGAGAGGGAGAGAGAGAGAATGTGGGAGAAGCACCATGTGAATATGCCCATATATAAATGAGTGAACAGGGGAAGGGAATGTCCCTGACTGTACCTGGTACCAAATTCTTCCAAAACATGTATTTCCTTGTAAACTTATGACTTAGCATGCTTTTTATGAAAAATATCCAGAAGTCAATCTACAATACTACATGCCCTGAAAGTACATTCATTACATATACACTGCAATTATGTGTAAAATTTACATAATGTCTGTGTCATGTGCGAGAGTGTGTGTGGTGGGGGGAGGGGGGGAGAAAGGGAAGGAGGGAAGGAGGGAGGGAGGGAGGGAGGGAGAGAAAGAGAGGAAGAGAGGAAGAGAGAAAGAGTATACAAAGTGTATACAAATAAATGCATACATATTATCTATGTATATATCCATGTATTTCTATCTGGTCAAACAAACACACACACAAATACATAAATAAAAACATCATCCTACTTCTCATGCACTCATTCTACTTTGCCTAGAAATGAAAGGCAATGAAAGTGATGTTTTTGTTTTGTCTTTTGTTGTTATTGTTGTTAAAGGCAGCAAAAATTATATATTTCTTTGGAAAACAATGACACTGATGATGAGGAGTAATAATAATTATGACAATATCAATAACAATGAATTATATTACTGATAATAACAATAAAAACAATGGAACAACAACAACACTAACACCCAAAGCCCATTAGCAACAAAGTCAACACCGACTCACCCATCTCCAAGTACTCGGGGAAGAGTCCTCTCGGATCGAAGTTGACCAGCCGGAAGTCCTTTGCCCAGCGCGGCCAGCGGTTGTGGGCTTCCCTCTGGCTCTCGGGGACGGTGAGCATGTTGTACCACTTCCACAGCATGGGGATCACCATCTCCATGCACGTGTTCATTGCCTGCTTGCCCACCATGATGATGGCCAGCTGGACGGAGAGCTCGAGCAAGCAGCCACCGGGGGAACACTGGGGAGGGGAGCAATGTATATGAATGTGAACTGAGTAAGTGTGGGCATGTATTTTCTCTTGCACGTGTTGCAGCGTGTACCACCCATCTCAAAGACCTTACACAGGGAATGCCAAGACACTCCACTG